TCACACCCGTCTCGGGCCGCAGCTGAAGCCCCAGCCCACGTGGCGGCGCACAGTGCACTCCCGGCGGCAAAGAGTGCGGGTCGCGGCCCCGGCCCGGGCCCGGCCCCGGCTGAGCCCATCGGGGACCACCCCAGACCATGTGCTCTAAGGGGCTAGCTCCTCCCCTACTCTTCCACCCTGCACGCGTTTTTTTGTCGCTCGTGGGATTAAAGAACCACGTTAACAAGAGACCTGAAATTCAGCCCAAAACTTAGAAACGCTTCCCGTCCCCTCCAGCTGTTGGCGCGCCTCTGCCCCATCTCCGCTCCTGCCTTCTTCCCTTCCCCCCACTGTCCCCTTCCTGTCTCCTTTTTCCTCTGGCACCCTTCCTCCAAACTTGCATGTTCCTTGGAGGCCGTGACGTTGAGGGGGTTTCAATTTTGGATTAGGGACCCTTCTTCTGCAATGTCCAAGCATTGGCGGGGACCTAGCATTGGGTTCAAATGGTCATGGGACTTAGTAACATTTCCAAAAGTTAAGCATTCTGTATTATCTTTCTTAAAGCGACGGCCAAAACTGAGCACCAGCCCCCATCCCCCCAAAACCTGGATCCGCCCGGCTCCGTGTGTTCGTGAGCCCAGCTGCAGGCTCGCCGCGTGGCCTGATTCGGAAGAAGGCACTTCTGGGCTTTGCATAGGCGAGGTCTCCCTCCCGCGTCCTGCAAACCCTTAGATTTATGTCGCAGTTTCTGAATAAGAACACGAACGACTGAAGGGGAAGATAAGGTCCTCCATCCTTGTGAAAACCGCTCCTTTCACTGGGTGGGTGGGTAGGAGGAAGAGACACGCTTTTTCCCCTCCACCTTGCTGGATTTCTCCATCAGGGGGCGCCCACACCCGCCACAAAACTCCCTATTCCTAGACGTCTGGGTTCGGCGAGTCCTTTGCACGCCGCTGCGGGCAGATCCCAAGCAGCGCGCCGCCTCCTCGCTCCTGGCTCCTCCCTCTGGCCGGCAGGGATTTCACACTAGCCATTCATTTGTCAGCCTTGGGGGAGGGGACGCAGGAGAGAGAGAGAGAGACCGAGTAGCACAGGCTGGGAGAGGGGAAGAGAGGCAGAGAAGATGGAGACAGAGGGAGAGACAAAGATGAGACAAGGGACCCGGCTGCGAGACTGCCTTTCTGCCTGTGAGCGCGCGCAAGGCGGGGCAGCTGGCTCCGCGGAGCTTTCTCCTCCCTCCCGCAGCATCTCCCCGGGACCAGCCGGACTAGCTGCGGCGCAGCTGGATCCCACAGCACATAGTTTAGGCTATGACACTATTTTTCGACCTCGTTCTCCTCTGCCTAACACGCTGACCACTCCACGCCCAGCGACACAGACAGCGAGCCGGGACAACCCTGATGCCCCCTAGTCCGCAAGCACCGGGGCTGCCGCCCAACAGC